AGCTGGCCATATTTTATCCCTGGTCAGAATGGGTCGTCACAATCTACCCCAATTGGCTACTTTCATGAGGTGATGGTTGCCAGGCAACTAAATTCTGCGATCTAGAAAGTCCTTTGCTTGGGGCTGGGGATTTAGCTCAGTGGCACAGCACCTGCCAGGCAAGCACAAGGTCATGAGTTCAATCCCCAGTACCGGAAAAAAAAAGGGAAAAGCCCTTTGCTGCAAGTGACAGGTCCACAGCCAAGTACCCCTTACCCTCAAGTTTTCCAAAAATTGTGAAACACGTGAACATTTTACAAAGAAAAGGGTATCACAAAAATAAAAGCTCATATAAAATGGAGTTATTTTAATTATTTCCTTTGACAGAAAAGACTACTTCCTTCCACACTGGTGATACATTAATACTCCCACCATTACCCAGGCGTGCTGGCAGACGCCTGTAATCCCAGCACTCTGGAGGCTGAGGCAGGACGATCACTGCAAGTTCAAGTTCGAGGCCACCCTGGGCTACAAACTGAACTCAAGGCCAGCATGAACTGCCTAGTGAGACCCTGTCTCAAAAAAAGAAAGAAAAAAAAAAAAAGAAAATATCCCCACCAATTTCCTCAGCATCTAAACTCTCTGGAAGGCCTCATTTAAATAGTCTGATTGTACAGAACAGTTTGTTTTGCTACCTTATGAATAAAGCACCTGGCTATGGAAAATGGCCTGAGGTAGAGTTGTGCAATAAGCCATAGTGAGGAGAATTAAAATACGAAGAGGTAGTGAACTATCAATAGCAGACCAAGACTGTACTTCCTCAGGAAACAGGGTACGCAGCCTTCCCTACTGCAAAAAGTTGCAGCCACTCCCTACCAAGCTCCCCAGTTTCCAGGAACTTCAAGTACAGAGTAAACACTTTTTCTCTAAAATCCCAGTTTCCTTTACACCTTACGCACTAAGAAAATGGGTTTGAGAACCTGAGTTTCAAATGGTCACTTGTGATAGGTGGCCATTAAGTAACTGAACAATTACTGTCCTCTGGTTCTCTCTAAAAAGCTCTGGACTGAGCAGCCACCTTGACACCCTCTCAAGATGCTTCCAACAATCAGGGAGCTATTCTTATCTGCAAAGAAAACTCCTAATACAGGGGCAGCTGAGACCTGTAGGTTGGGTCAGATAAGG